GATACCATCAAATCCCTTAACACATTTCCTTTTTTATCAGATAAGCAGCCTATACAAAGCTAAACAGACATCTTCCCCCCACCCATGCAGCTGACAAGAACACGGGCTCAAGAAAAGCTTACAGTCACTGCCTGCTATAGGAAGAAAAACTAACCATAGAGTTCTAAACTGAGAAAGAGTCTTTATAAAAGCTTGCATCATAAATGCATATTCTAAAGCTTTGGCACTTTTGCTGGCTCCAAGAGGGGTTTCAGCTGTGTTCTCTCATGCAGTCCCTGAAAATTCCTTGCAAAAAGGGCAATACAGACTGGCCCTTTTCAGGGCATCTCCTTCCCTAGTTCCCACAGCACTGTGGTAGATAGCCGCTCTTCTTCTAGCAGAAGAGAAGGAGGGGGGAAGGGTCACCTTGGCTACCGGCAGCAGGATCTAGGTATAAGCACTTGTATTTGCATTTGCTGGGGCAGGTGCTAATGAGTGCAAGCCCAGCTGGAGCTCTGGCTCCAACAGTATGCTGGGGTTTGAGATATTTCCTCCACGGTCAGAAGCTCTGGGCAGCATAAACACCATGTCTTTCATCGTACCCCAGGCTGGAGCCAGTGTTGGCCCTGTATTTTCAGCCCCACTTTCCTGCAGCTGATGTACCACCAAGTAAAGTGCCTTACTTGCTTGTAAGTCACCAGAGACCTTGATTTCACTTTTGAAATGCCCTTTGAATAACCCTATTTTAAGGGAGGCATGAAGGAAAAGTAAAGCCCAATCTACAGTGTAGCCCCATCCTTTTAGAACAAAATAAATGTGTTTCCCTTATAGGCAGGTTCCCATAAATACGAACAAAAAGAAGTTAAAAGATTCAGATGAGGATTGTTTTCTTCCAAAGTTAAAGCAAGAATAAATTTCCAGTGCACCCTCCCCCAGCATATTTACACTGTGGAGAGACTGATGCGTAAAGCAAAACCATGCTGTTGAGAAGTAATTTTTCACTCACCCTTTGGCCAATGTTGCTATGCCAACGTCAGTTAACTTCATTCCTACACCTACAAGGCATCAAGGAAACAGAGAGCTTATGTTACACTAGAATTTCTAGGAATATCTTCAGATTCAAGAGCACCATATATAGAGGCATTAAATATTACTTATTGATTCATGTTTTTAATTTTCATTATTTGTCACCACTTTTTCAAAACATTTTAAAGTACCTCAATTAAAAATAGGATGTTTGTGCTCTGTATCACTAGCAATTTCTAGAAGTCAGTCTCATACCTGTAGTTTACAGATAAATAGTGATACAGATAAAGGTGATAAATAGAGCATAACTTGTTTCCTGTGCTAGACAGTCAGTGGGGGGAAGGAGGGGTGACACTTTGATGACTGCATGTTAAGAAACATACAAAATCTTTGCTTAGGCTCCTGCCCTGAGATGCGCATATTTATTTATGGGTTTTGTGGTTTTGATGCTTTTCAAACTTGGACTAAAATGTTTATCAGTAGGAATTGCATATTTGTTTTGCTAATCAAATAGCAAGAGGTCAGTCAACCTTATTTTTACTTTTTGGGTGAGAGATCCAAAATCCCTTTCTTATTCAGTATTTCCAAGAACTTGATTTTTTTAACCTGTCCCTTTGTTGACTTGTTTATAGGCAAAATGCAGTCCTGTTGTGTGCAATTTTTTCTGTACAGGAAAATGATGGTCTCAAGACCATTTTCCTTGGAGAATACCCTCAGAAATCTCAACTGGTATGCCTGAAAAATGCAGCCTAGATACTCAAATGAGAAGATGATCAGAGAGGAAGGATGTTTCTCTTCAGCAGCAGCAGGTATATTGTCCTTTGTGGCAGCAATCATTATAGAGCTTCAGATACCATTTCTGCTGTTGTGCTTCCCTTAGGCCAGGATTTTGTTCTTTCTTCTCCCTTTAAATTACTTCAGGGGTCTTGTTTAGATGTCTTCTTGATAATTTTCCTGCCTTCTCTTGTTAAAGAATATGGGGTATTTTCTAAAATTCCACCTTTCTTTGGTTTTCTTTAACAAGGGTCTGTCTTTCTCTGTTTCAAATACATCTATGCATACTGTGTTGGGTACAGGCCCAGCATTTCAGCAGTTAGGAGGAGTCACACACATAGAAGCGTAAGGGCAGCATTTAGTAAATGCAAGGAGGGCATTTCTTCACCATTCTTCTTTTTTGAAGGAACATGTTTCTTGAAAGCTAGCCAGGACCTGAATGTGGCGCATTCCACTGTTCAGAGATTGTTGGTAAGTATTTAAATACAAGAAAAAGTGAAGGACTAGGATGTTATTAACAACTGAACTCTTTAATTCACAAGATGTTTCATTAACCTCTGGCAGGTGAGACAGTAAGCCAGACTTGACTCATATTGAGTGTCCTGATTTAGTAAGGGGACATGTGGAAGAACAACTCTCCCGTTAGAGTGCATTTGTTTTTTCTTTTCCAAACTGTCTTCTTACAAGAACATAAGCTAGGTAAAAATTCCCTTTCCCTGCTGATTAGATAAACATCATAATACTGTATAGGTTAATACATGTTCACCCCTGCTGTCACAGTAGGCAATTAATGAATGTCTTTCTGTTCCCTAGGGTAATACACACACAAACACAGTGCACTTAAAATAGGCTGGAAAATAAAATATCCTCCCTCCCTCTCCTATCTTTTATTCTGATCTGCATGAGGTGCTGTATAAAACAGGCACAGGGCAAGGGTACTGTCCGCATCTGGAGAAGACTCTGCCCATTACAGCACATTCAGCATTGCCAATTGTCCTGTCCACATCCAGGACACAAAGTCAAGAATAACATTGCTCAGAAATAAGTCCCCGGAAGTTCTGCAGTTACGGCGATTGACTGTGAGTGGTCACCAGCCTGTATCATGGGAAAGCCATGTTATTGCCCCCGACTCAGACAACTCACCTTGCAGGTCAGTGACAAGCAAGCTCCCATTGGTCTTCTCATACACCCAGTGCTGGAAAGTGCAACACTTCTGGCCAGCCTCTGAGTCTCTTCTCAGGAAATTTACTTCCTTGCCATCCCTGACAGAGTATTTCACAAATTCCCCAACCAGCTCCTCCTCCACTGTCGCATAGGGGATGTTATTAGCAGGGCGATGAACAAGAAAAATAGGAATGATCCTGAAATCAAGGGATAAAAACTAGTAAAATCCAGAGAGTTCTGTCAATGAAGGAGTAAGAAACAGACAAAGTGGACAGTGATCTCAGAGAGTGAATGAACAGCTACCAAGTCTAAACCAAGCCAGGAGACATCTGGGTAAGATTCAGATTTCTAGGTAGCTCTAGATCATAATTGCATTATCCTCTATGTGCTTATTTCTTTGTATTATTTACTCAGATGTAAACTTTTTCAAAGCATACTTTCTAATGTTGCCCTACTACATCCCAAAATCTAAACTCTGCACAATAAAGGGTGCTTGCTTATTTTGGATTATCACTGCTTTAGCTGCTCAGTCTGACTCATATATGACTCAGTCTTTCTGAGGTGTTAAGCACCTGCAAATTTGATCCACTCCAGAAAGTGCTTTGCCCAAGACCAGTGTAAGTGGAGGATTTCTCAGACTAGACTTCTAAAACCTGACACATCCAAAATTAGCAAACACTTTTGATAATGAAAATACAAAGCAACTAATTTATCAAAAAAGTAAGAGGAAACAAGAAAGTCTCTGGAAAGATGATCAGATTTTCAAGACAAGTTGGCTCAAGTGAAAATCTAGAATCTGAAGATTCTTGGGCTTCAGCAAAGTTTGAATCCAGGTCAGAAAACTGCGGCTAGTTCTGTATGAAGTTTTCAGGAAATTGCAAACTTGACAAAATTTGTCTCATTTTATTCGTTTAGAAATTGAGCTAGTTTAGCCAGAAAGACTTACAAAGTTTTGGAGGAATACAGGCTAGGTCCATTTATGTCTAAAGATGCACCATGCCAAAAACTCACATCCAGTATCAAATAAAATTTTGCTTGGGGTTTCATGGTCTTCCCAGAGAGAAACGCTGAATGTGAAGTCATACTGACAACAGTCTGGAAGGAAGCATCTGTCTCACTGGCAACATGAACTTCTTGGTTACCAAAGTTCCTGCTGTCTGAAAAGCAGTGTTCTACCTCACAGATAGCCGCCTTCTGTTTGTACTTACACTGGAAAAACTCAGCATTCTTGTTAGGCAGCACTCCGATACTACAGTATAAATCTCCAAAATTAAAACCTTAGAGTAAGCAAAAAAGTGACATCATTGTATATTAGAGTGGAATTTAATACTGCTCTGAGATAAGGTCATTTTGGAAAGCCATTCAGCTGGAGCTGGTAACAGAACATAACCGTATTTTATCAGCTAGCTCACAAGAGCTCCTAGCAGTATCTCAGAACAAATGGGGGAAATGACTGTCACCACAAAACAGGTTTCTAGTTACTTGCTTTCTTACAAACAGCCTTATCTCTTACAGCAACACTGCCAAAGGAGTGGTATAGTTGCTTCCAGACATACTTGTAGTGGATTCTGGAAGTGGCAGAATCGTAAATGTACATATGTACTCCATATACATTGAAAGGAGGTCTAGAAGAGTTAGTCATGGGACAGAGAACCACATATAGCCAGAGCACTTCTGTATAAGTCTTCCAGTCCTAGTCCACAATCAAGCTTTATTGACACCATTAATTTATTTGTGATAAATATGTAAATTTGTAAAATGTGATATTTTACTCTTATTGTTATAGCACATGCAGTTAAACTGGTACAAATGGCCTTTATACTAGTAGTTACTCTCTTTCTAAGGAACAATCACTGTGACTGTAGGCACTTGTCTAGTTCTAACCTACTCATTCAAGGTATGAGATCAGCTTAACTCTACCAGTATCATTAAAGTGAACAACTAGTACTAGTATATAAGGCTCCATATAGTTTCATATTACTGCACACTGAAAGGAAAATAAATGGGTCACTGGTTAAAGGAAATGTTAGTACTACTCCATTGTGGAAGTATCGTAAGTAACCTCAAGACCACAGAATCTCTCTCCCCCTCCTGCCCTTTTATAAATGTCTAGCTGCCAGGCCACTGACTACTATAGGGCAGTGCTTTCTCTATCCTTTCCCCAGCTTTCTCTTACAGTCAAACGTGCACAGATAGGCTAAGGCTGTAGCTTTAAAGCTAACCCTGGAGAACCTGGATGACTTTTCTCTTGCTCTATTTCCCTTATAAAATGTTGCAAGGAATATACCCTCTTTTAAATGCAAGTTTGGTCTGACAAGGGCTGGCTACAAGAAAGGAATCTAGCCTTAAAATTTTGAAATTAAAAAGCAAACCAAAAGCATATGCACATTATCTCTTTTTGTTCCTAGCTGCTGTCTTCCAGCCAATTGTTTAGAATAAAGCACCAGATCTGAACCTTCCATGTGCCTGTTATTTGCACCCGACTTCTAGTTTTTGTAGGATACGTGCTCTCTCTCTCATATCAAAACTAGAGGTTATATCCTGTGCCTAGAGAAATCTCTCAAACACAAATCTTACCAAGAGCAATATATTTCCAGAAAAGAAGCTGACTTGCACAAATATTTTCCCTAAAAGATTTCACTGCCATCTCCATCACTGTTTCTAATCCTGAAAAGGCTGCTTTAAGGAATCATTCCAGAGGCTGTGTTTTAAGTGGTCCTTTTTTTCAGGGAATCAGTGCAGCTGAGCAGATCTTGTGTCATCTAAATGGAGATGGAGATTTAGCCTGCTGTCAAGCATGTAGGTCTTATCCTTGAAGCAAGGCAGATGGAATTGCAACCATCCATTGCAAATTCAACTCTACACAGTAACCTGACACTGGAACAACAAATCCGTTGAAAAAGATCTATTACGAAATCGTCAAGGTGCCACTTCCCAGCCTCAGAGGCAGAGGTGAACCTGTATTGAGCTACTGGTCTGATGTACACATATTCAGGAAATGGAAAACTTCTGATATGAAATAAACCAATCTTTGGGAAAACCTAGCATCAGAGTTGAGCCTTCTGACTTAAGCCTCTCTTTACATAGAAAACTTGCCTATGGAGTGACTTCATACCAGCTTTAGAATGATCATGATTTCTCTCAAGATTTCATTTTTAATGAAAAGTTGGAAGGCCTGACTTATCCCCTACTGCTGTTACTAGATGATACTAGTAGTATCACCTACTGGTGTTACTTCACTAATACGAATAATTTCCTCTAAATTTATATCAAAATCATGCCTTTTGCCTGCTATTTACTGTCGTCACTCCTTATTATCCTTCTCTAAGGGGAATGGAATCTCTCTCACCACCTTGATACTCAATATTATTTAGGTCATAACTCCAGCTGTAACACTGTTCTCAGGATTCCTCTTTCTTCTTCTTTAGTAATTACTCCTAGCAGTCAGTGGGCAGCTGTGACACAGTACAATACACACACGCATACGTGTATATGTATATAAAAATAGATATATACTCACTCTGGTACTTCCCCAAAGCCTTCCAAGGGTTCAGCTTCAGCTGCATATATCTTCGCATACTCTCTTGCAGTATTTTGGACACAGCATTCCTATATTACAAACAGATATGCCTATGGAATATTACTCAAAACAATTAAGAGATCATCTGTCAATATTTGCAAGACAGCTTTTCCCCACAATTCTTACTGACAAAGGACAGGGGAAGCTTACCTGCAGTGCTAGTTTGTAGTTCTTTTGAACCAGATCATCCTTACTCTTGGTCCCATATGAGATCGCATTGTGCACTTTGAGAACACAGGGGTGGCCAGGACTGAACACTGGCACGAGGCCTTGCATCACTTTACTTCGGAAGGCTTTCCGGTGCATGCCTTCACCAAAGTGAAGCTCTTCTGTAGCTATTATTCCATGCAGGTTCCCACCAAAATAGCTGTCACTGATGAAATCTTCTCTGAACATGAGCTGCATGAATTCAATTTCTTCCACACCTAAAACAAAATGCCACTTCGTTCTGCACAACTTCCTTCTGCAGTCACATGGAAAGGGCTGGACATGGGAGAACAAATGCATCTCTCCATAGAGTATTAAAGAAAATGCCCAATGGACACAGAATACATGGCCTCACTTGTGTTAATAAGGGGCTGAGACCCTGCTCCTCTAAATTTAGCTTGTTGCCTGTACTGTTGAAAGCCAGCATGGAGAAAGGTGGCAGTTCAGGTTCATAAGGAGAGAATACAGAGTGTAGCAAACAAAAAACAGAGGTAAAGACCACAGAATCTTGTTTTTAAAACTATTAGGGGAGTTGTAAACTGGAGCTTCAAATTAATGTGAAGTAAGTCAAGCTGACTGAGAACTAAAGAGGCATTGAGGGAATACAGAGATCCTGCCAACTCTGCTTTTTTGGGAAGACAGAGACAGTAATAAAGCTAATGTACAGCAGTGTATGTAGATACGAATTTAAAAGTAGAACACAGTTCTGTGCCCAATGTGCTCAGAGCACATTCTTCCAAAGCTAGCCTGTCTTTTCAGAAAAGCCAGAAGTTGCTGGTACAACCAGAGCTTCTTTTAGCTTTCAGCTTGGAATGTTTTCAGGGAAAGATTCTGCCAACATGTTTGTAGAGGCACTCAGCTGAAAGAGGTCTCAGTCCTTATCCTATACAACCATGATGGAAACATGCCTTTCTTAGTCAAAGCCTTTTCAATCAAAAAGCAAATAGATCAATTTTAGTGATCTTTATATTCAGGAGAAATTGGTATAATATTTCTCTTATGCCCCCACCTGTGGATTTTGAAGGTACCAGTAGCATAAGAATGTGTGCCTAAGTTTGTTACAACTGAAATCAAGCAGGATTATGGATTTCACCCTTTTAAATGATCACTGGAATACAAACGGAAAAAAAATATAGGGGGAAAAAGAAGTGGTGAAGGTTAAGCACTGAGACAAACTAAACAATTCTAACTGCACTTCAAGTCTCTGTAATCACAACATTTCAAGGAACATCAGTGGAAAAGATAAATAGGAGAACAAAAGGTATACACTACACAGCAATGCAGTCCTTCCAGCTCCCCTTTGTAGTTATCTCTGGTTTAGACTCTGTACGCTATTGCCTCTCTTTGAAGCACAGAGGAAACAGTGCACATACAAAGCTAGAATTAGAAGGCTCCTTAACTCCACCTAAAATTTTCTGTTGATCAAAAGTTATACAGTGCTGTTACATGAAAAGTCCTGTCTTCATGTTAACAGGGAACTAAACGTTTAATTTTATTCTTCTAGAAAAAGAAAGAAAAATCAATTGGTTGAATGAAGTACTTGATTAGTACAGTGTGTTCAGAAATGATAAACCAATTTGCAATGCACTGTCTATCTTTAGCTGTAGCACAGCAAGACATATGCCAAGTGTGATTAAATGCAAGTTAACATATGGGGAAAGCATTCCAAATCTTCATGCCCGTCTTTCTCTTGGATTAAAGTTACATAGCAGGTGACTTGCAAAGACCATGTGTTCAAACACCACTGGCAAGTTTTTCTGCCAAAAGAGTTTTCAGTACTCTGTGTGTGCCTGTGTCTCTGTATGATGCGATGCAATGCTATTTCACTGTTTATTGTTTGTGAAGTGCTAGTGCATCAAGCTAACAAGAAGTTACACAGACAAGTTCAAATCAATGGTTTGTCACAGCAGGTACTCCATCACTCTGCACAAACCATTCCATCCTACAGCAGGGTATTTCACCTACAAAACTCCCATGAATTAAAGCGAAATTTTATCTTTGATGGTACAGCAAAGGTGAGTGCAAAAAGGGAAAGACAGCTAGCAAAAACACAATACTGATTCAACGGCTTCAAGGGATTCCCATAGTTTCCCACAGGATAATTGTAAAAATGTCTCAGTCTGGTTATATTTTTCCATCTTTTGTTCTATTTGGAAATCAGAAGGAACAAAGATTAGAGCACACATTCAAGCAGATGTGTGTACTTACCTTCCCAATTCTGAAAACTTGAGAGATGTTCCAAAACTACAAGGAAACAAAGAAACAGCTTTTGTAGCAAAAAAAAAAAAGAATGGAAACTGCCATTGTCATTATTATTAATTAAAATTATAAACTGGGATTTACCTTCAGAAGTCAGATTAAACTCAGCAGTCACCTTTCCATACATATTATTCAAGCAGCAATAATACATTCCCTGGTCTTTGTTACTGGCTTTAGCTATTGCCAAAGAGACAGGAGAGTCATCCTGGGCACTGGAACAGAAGATGTTAATTTTCCACATTAATACTTTTAAAAGACCTTTCCTGATTATTCCATTTATCTCTCCTCCTGTCCCTGGATTTCCGTCCCTCACTGCAAAGACTGATTTAAATATGATGCAAGTAGACAAAATATTTTATTTCACCTAGAAGTGAAATACTTAGAAGCATTCAGCCTATTATGTGTTTCACAATAGATGATCCTACCATACTCTGAGAGAAAAGTACCTCAATCAAATCTAAAAATAATTAAACCACACCAAAAGGCATTCTAATATCCCTATCAATATCATGGCCAAATATATAAAGTATGAACATATAAAAGCCAAAAATGTTGTATGCTGACTCCTCACTCAGCTTTCTCTGTTTCTTTGCTTTTTTCAAGCTAGATATTTACTCTCTGATGTCTGTATATACAATTTCACAAATGGATCAAAGGCAGATATTATTAACAGGGGTGCAATGACACATGAATGCAGTTACAGTACTTGCAGACCCAAGCTGGCTCTGGCAGCAATAAAACCACACTGAAACAGTGCTATGCCTGAGTGAAAAGTCCTCTTAGACCATGAAGGTTTTCACATGTACCACAGTGGATGTCCATGAAAGTATTTATCTGCAAGCCAGATAATCCATGCAGGGAGTATGGAGACCTGGCTATTGTGCTTTAAAGCTTTTGTGAAGTGAATTAGTGAAGATGTGCACAGTTTTGTTGGCAGCATGAAGTTTCATGATATTTTGGCATACTGGAGAACATATTTGTCCAACAATAGTTTTTAAATTAAATTACTTAGGAGATATTAATATTACTAGCAATGTGTATTTTTCAGTACACATATTTCCATGTGTTGACAGGTAATAAAAATTTAAAGATTTGTTGCCTAATTTCCTGTAAACGCCCCCTATTGAAAGTAAAAGCTAAGATGTACCAAACAATCCAGATTATGTATTTCTGTAGACTGATGTACACTTCCAAAAGAAGAAACAGTGCTTGGGTACACACAAAACAATTAGTTGGATTTCTATTGTGATGGAAGGGAGATTTCCACTGAACTCTACTGAACATTTTTGAAGTAAAAATTGTAATTAGGAATCTCTCTTACTCTAAATCTCTGTTATATATTTCACTTTCATTCCAACATTTTGAAATATATTTATCCTATGAAGTTAAAATGCAAATATTTTGTTATCACATATTTTACTTATCACTGCAAAAATGGATAAATTTGATATCTCTGCAATGTTTATTTGTTAAAACACTGCAAAATTATTTAGCAGATAATGGTATGTACTAATATTACAATGGATATTGTAATACAATAAACAAAATCAGTATAGTTAAAACAACAAGAATCAGAATGACACGGGAAGTTTAACCAATTCGTGGAACTTCTTCTCTCCCCTTAAAAGAACATCTTAGAAGATGCCTTCCTACAAAATTTACTCACTTTCACAGAATTGTGCATTCTGATGGAAAAATCTTTTCTTTTTTTGCTTTGGGTAATGTTAATTTTGTATTTTTGAAAAATTAAAAACAGATTTTAAGAGCTATGTGATAAGAATGTCATTACTGCTACGGAAGAAAATAACTCGTTTCATAAAAACAGAGTTTTAAGAAAAGCTGGAAAAGATCCTGATAAAGGCCTTAAGAAGCTTTTACTTCCACCCTTCTCATTGGACTGCTTCTTGTGACTCAGAGTCAGATTAACTGGCTGGGTTGAGGGGAGAGATCATTCTTCCTTAAATTCAACTCCCATAGTTTAATCCAATCAGCTTCAAGTTCCACTCGATACAGAATATGAAGTTCAAAGTAGAATCATAGACTCCCAGAGTGGTTTGGGTTGCAAGGGACCTTCAAAGATGACCTAGTGTAACCCCCCTGCATGGGCAGGGACATCTTTCACTAGATCAGGTTGCGCAAAGCCCCATCCAACCTGACCTTCCAGGGATGGGGCATCCACAACTTCTCTGGGCAACCTGTGCCATTGTCTCACCACCCTCATAGTGAAGAATTTCTTCCTTATGTCCATTCTAAACCTGCCCTCTTTCGGTTTAAAACCGTTGTCCCTTGTCCTTTCACTACAGACCCTGGTAAAAAGTCTCTCTCCATCTTTGTTATAAGCCCCCTTTAAATACCGAAGGGCCACAAGAAGGTCCCCCTGGAGCTGTCTCTTCTCCAGGCTGAACAACCCCAGCTCTCTTAGCCTTTCTTCACTGGAGAGGTGTTCCAGCCCTCAGATCATTTTCATGGCCTCCTCTGAACCTGTTCTAATAGGTACATGTTTTTCTTGTACTGGGGACCCCAGAGCTGAACGCAGTGCTCCAGGTGGGGTCTCATGAGAGCAGAGTAGAGGAGAATCACTTCCCTTGACCTGCTGGGCACACTTCTTCTGATGCAGCACAGGATATGATTGGCTTTCTGGGCTGCAAGTGCACATTGCCGGCTCACATCCATTTTTTTTGTCCACCAGTATTCCAAGTCCTTCTCTGCAGGGCTGCTCTCAATCCATTCATCCCCCAGTCTGTATTGCTTCTGCAGAATAATCACGTCAAGCTCTACATTGCATGTTAGTTGTTTCAGCAATTCACTTCCACCACACAAGGACAGACAGCCTCCCACATATTAACCAAGCGTGTTTATGTTGTTTGGCTGGGTGCTGAGGTTGAAACTTCATTTGATCTTTTACAGTACTTGAAAGTTGGATGAGACTGGTTATGAACAGGCTGAGAGGAATTACTGGTGATGGAATGCAAACTATGACCACTATTAGTGCACTGTGTGAAGATACGCTTCTTAACGACCCTGTTTAAACTTATTATTTGCACCTATCATACTAATCCTCTCAACAAGTACAAGAGTGAATCAATGGCATATTTTCCCAAAAGCTATTCAGAAACTACCAGTCCTTCAGAAACATTCACTCACCTTCTCTGCAGTCGAGCTAGTAACTTGGAATCTTTAGTCCATGTAATGGTGGAGTCACCATGAAGGTCACCAAACTGACAGCATAGCTTAATATTTCCAGAACAGTCAGGCAAAAACTCTGCTTGGATTTTCTTCAGCAGCTTGGGAGCTTGAAACAGAAGAGCCACAGTTTAGGATTAGAACATAATGATATTGTTTTGGCATTTTAAAGGAATCCCAGAATGATTTGCAGATGTTAAGAATATGAATCTGACAACACTGGTAAATAATTATGATTTCTTCTGATGCAGAAACCAAGGCTTTAAAATACAGAGGTTTTAAAAGACTGATTCAGTGCCCCCCACAGTCAATGGAAATGTTTTCAATGCAAAGACATTTTGAATTTATGGAATAGGACCCAAGGGAAGTTCTAGCCTGAAAAGGCATCGACATAAAATAATTTCTTAGTCAAAACACATTCTCTCTGACTAAAGGACCAGCTGGTTTTATCAGTAAAAAAAAGACACCACAAAGGTACAGCATACCATATGGTTACATAATAAGAATTCATATTAACTGAATACTTGTACCTAGTAGATTTTTTTAACTGATCACAGCCTTTGAGAGAAAAGACTTTAAGACCCAGGAGATGCCCAGTCTCCAAGGTGTTCTTGGAACATACCTAGCCAGGATGAGACTCTTTGCAAGATGCAGTGATGGCACCATTTCCTTTAAAACACAGCTGAAGGGAGGAACCCCCACTTAGTGGTTAGATATCTGCATTTGGTAATGTCAGTGGCCTTTGCTTCCCTCTTCAGTTTCAAAGGATTAATTTCCCGCCTCTACAGAAAGTCCCTACCTTTCCAGCCATAGGGCACAGTTCTTTTGCTAAACATTGACCATCGTGTAGAACAAATCCAAGAATCACTCAGGTTACAGAAAGACAGCACTCTGCCCAGTCTAGGGAAGGTCCTGATAACCTGGTTCTCTGCTAAGACTTGTTTTCTGCCTCACAGAACGCTCCAGCGTCTTCTGCATGTGGGCATGGCGTGAGCGGGAGGATTGAGGGTACTTGGAAAGAAAGGGAATCAATATATACTTAGGGAAAGGTTTTGGGATCGTGACACATCCCTGCACTCAAGTGAGACATCCCTGCTAGATGTAAGGGATATAAAATGCAAGATGTTATGTCTCCTACTGTATTAATTCTGAGCTGCTGCACTCTGAATGAGCTGGCATGACACATCTCCCTCAGGGATCCCATTCCAGCAGTCTAACTTTCCACACCTAATGCCGAAGGAATGCTGGATCCAACTCCAAGGGTCAAGCACCTGGAATTCACTGCTATGTTTAACTTGTAGTCACTGAAGTCCTTAGGCCTAAGAATCTTGCTGAATCAGGGCTAAAATGACACAGACAGTATGTGACAGAACTGTAAATAGAACTAACAGCTCCAGATTCCCTGCCCTAACCACAAAGTCATCCCTCCTGCAGCTGAAAATAATATAAAAGAGAACACTGAGTATATACCAGACTAACCATACCAACCTTCCCTTAATGCTGGGAAAAGGTCCACACAATTCTCTGAAGTACAAACATACATTCATTTCAGTCTAGACTAAAGCAGATCAGAAGCAGGTTAAGAAAACTCAGTCTTATCTGATGCAAGCCTGAATGTTTAAAACATTTTTCAAGCATAGCCTCAGGTACATGGAAAAAGATCAGGCATTTCTCAGTAATTGCAGTTTGCTTGCTCTGCTTTGAAGGAATGTGTCTCTCCTCCCACACATTTGGTTCTGGCAAAGGACACATCTTCGAACAGAGAAAAGTTTGGGGTTTTTTTAAATGTGATTGGAAAAGTAGAACTCTCACCAGACCGCACTGTAATTAGACTCTCTGAAGAGCTTCATAGTTGTGTAGCTTACTTTTAGTCACTGTTCAGTCTTGCTTTGACCTATTAAATTATTTTATGATGTGAACATGAAATGTAATGTCAAAAGGTAAAAATAAGACCTTGGTCCTTGCAAAGTATCCATAGAAACCACAAATACCTCATCTGTCTAGCTGTTACACTGTTGCTACTCCTGTCTGCATTTTGTTTTACCTAATAGCAACCTCCTAGAGACTGTGACAGGCAACCTGAACCTCATTTCAATTATGTTTTCTATGTCAGTTTAGTATTGCTAATTTCATCAGTGTCATTTATGACCAACAGTGGTGAAAAGGAATGCAGAACCAGCCATCAGTCATCAGATCGGACTGCAAAACATTATGTTTATCAGTGGTACCCTACTAATAACAATAATACTTTGGTAGTAATAAAACCATTTGGTAACCAAGAGAGGGTAATTGCATTTGGAAGCTACAGTGTAGGAGCATAACTGGGAATACAGCCCTGCGGGAACATAACAACGTGCAAGTACTGCGCTTGCAGTTGCTGTATTGTGTGGTTATGTGGTACCATTATGCTATACATTCCTGAAAATGTTACTCGAGGAGACAAATGAAGAAGTAACTATTTCAAAGAGGTTAAAAAGTTCATAAATTTAACACATTTTTGCCAGCTAGGAAAAGGAGGTTAGGGAGGGTTCAGCTCTGTGGCACGGGGACAGCACTAGTTACTAAGTTCACAGAACTGGAAATTAACATCAGTGAGGGCAGGACACCTTTAGCTGATATGATTTAGACTAAAGGAGGCTTGCAGTGTGTTTAATGAATTTGAATTTCATACTGTAGCCAGAACGATGGGAAAGGACAGAAATGAAAATCGGATTTCTCTTACCTTTGGTATCCTTTTTCAAAATTAGTTTCCTTTGCTCTTTTCTATCTTCTTTATGAATCATGCCTGCCTCACTCTTCACAGACTTTTTAACACAGCTAGGATCCTTGCTGACATTTCCTCTCTCCTCCAGTCGGGGTTTTTTTGACAGTGTTGCTGGTGGTAATTTCTTCTTAGCTCCAGTAGCTAAATGCCCACTCTTTGCTGTGTCTTGTTTACATTTGATGGGCTCAGGCTCAGCAACAGTTGGTGATGTCTGGCAGGATTTCAATCCTTCTTGATTTCTTAGCGTTTCCGCATTGACTGGGAATGGATCATATGCGGTCAACGCTATGGAGAATGGCTGAGTTCTGCTGTAGGGTGGTTGCTCTTGAAAATAGTGGTCGCTCCCTGAATTAACTGGTGACAAATTAACTAAACCACCTACTATGTTCTCTGATGTCATGACTTCTTCATCTTTATCATACTCAGTACACTTAATTGAATTATCAACCTCAGTTAGCTTGCTGGAAGAGATCAAGTCAGACCAGGACTGCTCAGTGCTAATATTCATAATCCGTCTCTGAGCCTTGGAGCCAGTGTGCAAAGTTTCAGCTTCATCTGGGTTATACTCAACAGCTCTTTGAATCTCTTGCTTATTTTCACACAAGACTGCTTCCTCCTTGTTTTCTTCAGGTACCCTATGGAACTGATCCTGCAATACCTTGCAGAAAGTTTCCAGCGCACTCCAATTTTCATCTAGTTTGACTGCAGTTTGTGTGGATTCAGTTTTTACCTGACTTCCTGTGCTAGGACACCCCATTGTTGATATACTGGTAAGAAGGCCCTCTGACCGGCTTACAGGTGTGAAGAATGGCAATGTTTCTTTTACAGTCAGTTGTTGGATATCTAACTGATTACTGGTATCTCTATAATCCTCATTTGCTATGCTGTGGTATTCATTTTGAGTCTTTCTAGGCAGTGGGGTACTAACTGATGTTACACTTTCAGATGCGTACGTGTGATTTTTTGAAGACTCTGTTTTTAACTCTTTATCAGACTTGAAGGTGCTGTCGACAAAAAATACATGTTGTTCTGATGTATTATGAGGGGAAACTGCAGTCTGACTCTCTGAAACAGGACTAACTCCTGAGCCACAGGAAGTTTCAGCCCTTTGTTCACCTATACAAATCTCTCTCTGTTCTTCTGTTTTACATGGTTCACATCTGGGCACTTCTACATAAAAATCTCTTAAAAATGGATCCTCAGAAAAAGGAAGTGACACTTCTTGTTTTTCTATTTCTGTCAGTTGGTCTATATTTTGGGGTAAATTCTTACGTGTTATGGTTTCAGGAATCTTAATTAAATTAGGCAATTGCATTAGGTAACCGTATTTCTGTGCATTAGAAAAAACTTGAAAATCTCGACAGTCATTATTTTTTGAAAGATGATAACTGTCAGAATTAGTGTCATTTTGTGCATTCAAGTCTGAGTGATTACCTTTTTCTTGTAAATTCTCTTCATAACTTTTGTGTATGGTGTTAATAGAAGAGTGTTCATGTGTAAACTGATTGGTATTTTCACCAGGGAAAATGTCTTTCTCTTCAGGGAAATAAGCCAGTTCTTTTCTTGCTGGGTAACAGTCTCTAAAATGACACCCTTTACCAGTTACAGACTCATTTATCAAGGATATGTTGTGCTCAGTATGAAGTAATTGTCCAGTTGTCCCATGTGACTTATCTGACATGTAAGCTGGGTTTTCTTTGTCATATGCTAAATTACTACTCTGAGCATTTTTCAGTCTTTGAGGAGAAACTGCATCACATGTTTGTGAACCATTATTAATGGTAAGCTTTCCTTCCCGAGCAACAGTCATTTGAATGAATCCATTACTGTCAGTTAATGTTTGATTTGGCTTCCGCTCCAAGCACTCCCCTCTATTTAAGATGATACTATTTGCTGAAACACAAATGGATGGTGTTTCCGTTTTATTTCCAGTGCTAGAATCTAGACATATACCATCTGTTTCTACCACTTGTGCAAGACAAATGTTTCCTATGGATGCACTGTTACATGCTTCATCTGTTTCAAGTAGGTTATTAGAAACATTGCAGTCTTCTTTCTCTGTTCTTTGTCTACTAGCTGGCTGTGTAATAGGTTCCTGCTCTTCTATCAAATTTATTGGCAAAGGATGATCAGAACAGGTCTCCTGTACAAAGTTCAGTTCTCTGACTTTGCTATCTGTCAGCCTAATTTCTAAGCTTGTGATCCCCCGGTTTTCAAATGGGATTTGATAGTCTGAGTAATCTTCATGAAGAAGTTTCCACAGCTTGCCATGCACTGCAGATATATCAGCATCTCCTTTGCACTCAGCTTCTCCAGATTCCAGGACTGACTTGGGATTAGCTTCAAACAGAGATTCATCACATGACAGACTGCAGAGAATATCTGTGTCATTGCTATCGTGTGAGTCAAAACTATACCTTTGCTCTCCCTCCCTTGGCTCATCACATAGCTTTGCAGAAGAGAGAACAGCACACAAACAGTCTTGTTTATCAGGAACAGAGTCCGTATCCCATAAAGGAAAAGGTGAAACATCATTCTTTGATTTGTTGCCATTACTAATAATATTAATTCCTTGTTCACAAAAGACTTGTTGGTGACAACTTTCTCTCTTATCAGGAGCATGGTGTTGAGAATAGGTCTGTAAATTTGCATTTTTTACTTGTAATGTCTTTTCAGTACAGAGCATTTCTGAAGCTGGGTGGATGGTTCCTGCACTCTCACAAGTCATGAAGATGCCCTCCTTCTCTGTTCCAGGCTCCATACATAGTCTCTCACAATTCTGGGTAAAGATTTTAAGATTAGCACCTTGATTCTACAAAGAAGAAAAAAAGAGAAATGTAATTAAAAATTAGAATGTTGCTTGACACAGGCCTGAACTAGAGTTCTGGCTTGAAATATACCTAATTTTTTTTTTTTAAATATTTGTCAATAGTCAAGTTTCTGACTTGTAGCTATCAACCTAATGGATTTCAATCCAACTCCTGGGTCTTAACAGCCTTGAACCCTGGTAAGTTTCAGATCTGGATCCAAATGCTGAGAAATATAAAATGTAATCAAGATGAAGATCAATGACTGATATAGTTCAGCTAAAGGAAAACAGATAAAATAAAATAAAATAAAATAGTCATGTCTATGCCTTTTGCTAACAGTCAGAGTGTCCCACCATACTTATGTAATTATTACATAATCAAAACTGATGAGTTTCTGGAACTACCCAGACTAGTTTTTTGGGAGCTTACCTTCCCTTTTGCTCCCATCATGGGCATTGTTATCTTAAGTTTCACAAAGATGCTTTCTTAATATGTATTAGTCTTGAAAAGTTTCAGAGAATGCACCCCACATGTCTGCTGTGCTATGTACTTCAGAACAAGACTCCCACCAAGAAATTAACATCTCTGGGTCAGTTTTAAGCTGTCTTCGAAATTTGTCTTGGGTCACCTCTGACCCCTTGAGGTGACAAGTCCCGCTTCAAAAGGGAATGACAGAGATCATTCCAGATCTTGCCTCTGTCCAAGTGGTAACGAATTGCTCAATATAAGGCATATTCAGCCCTCCTCTAGCAATGAGACATGCATTGCAACCTTAGGGGCACTGCTGGGAAAACTGGCGCAGGAAATAAAAACCCATATTCCTCCTGCATCTCCTTTATTCTTCTATATCAAACTATTCCAAATCGTCACTTTATGTAGAAACAATCCATTCCTCAATTAAACTAAGCCAAACTGAACTTCATTTATGCAAGGAGTGCAGACTTTATTAAGAAGAACAACTGGCTGATGTTTGGGCTTGCATGGGATGAAGAAAGTGCTGCCATCTGCCTGGCATACAAAAATCTGTTAAACTGTTCACCATTCTCCTCAGAATTGAGCTTTCATTCTTAAATTCTTGTTCCAGAGTCCCTGCCAAGCTTTTGTTCTCCAGGATTTTCTCTAATCCTCTTCAGCTCTAAATCAATTCCATGGAGGTGGTGAGCATGTTTCACCCATAGCAATTCATAGATGGAGAAGCCTACAATTTTTTACTAGAGAAAAATGCATTGTTTCCTAAACTAATTATGCTTTATGCTTTTGTTTACCATTCATTTGCCAGAACAATCTGTAAAAGTAGAGAGCAATTTAGCAGTCAACCTTTGAAAAAAAATATTCACTTTCAAATAGCCATTAACAGGCTATAACAACACGGACCTCATGAATTAGTTTGTACATTTGACCATGTATCTTTCTAGCGGTTGTCTGAAGCTTTGTACCGACTCCCAGCAGAAATTAAGAAATGCTAAAAAACATCAGACTAAGTTTAAAAAACACCAATACTTGTAGACATTTTACACTTTTTAGCTTTTATCCAGCCACAAACTCAACTTCATAACTGTTTTGGGTTGGTTTTTCCCTCGTGAGTCCCAGTTCCATCCATAGTTATTTGTTAACTTGTAATGATGTGCTGGATGGCTGAAATGAACAACTGTGATACATAACGGGTGAGTCCTCTGGGTTACAGCAGAGCTGTAAATATGTAACGAGTGCTCGCAGACACAGAATTCAGAAGAGCGATTCTGAAAAGAATCTGTTGTTACTTAGTGAAGGATATGTAATGAAGGATTTCCCATGAGTTGCTGTGTGCTCAGGTAGAGGCAGGGGCTGCTCAGACACTAGGTTCTTAGTTTCCGTAAGTTCATGGTAAAAGGATTACCGGCTGTAGCAAATATTGCTTTCCTTTGCTGCAAAAGCCACCCACTTCAGTTGCAATTCTTTTCATCCTTTCTGTTTCTCCATTCAGCTTGAGTAGGATGTGGAGCTGACTACATGCTGTGGACAATGGGGAAGGAAGAGATATAGAAGATTTTTGTCAATGACTTTAACTGCTGTTCCCACCCCAAGCACCATGCAGTTGCCACCACAGTGTCTTCAAAACTCCTTGGCTAGTGCATACTTACCTAGAAACCCTGAGCCTAGGAATCTCAGCTCCACAACTGCAGTCCTCTCTGATTCCCAATGCTTTGGTCTCCTGCTCAAGTCTGCTCTGCAGGAGAAGATGCCAGTCTCTAATTCTTTGAGCTTAAGATGCACACCTTCTCTCAAGTCAAGGGGGATGTGGGCCTGGACGTGTCTCTACAGTCAGTTCCAGTTCTCTTCTCAGTCGGTCCTGAGCATTTGGTTTGAGCCTAGTGCTCCTTCTGCCACTTCCACTTCCCCTGCAAACCTCTGAAAAGCAGAGCTTATTTTTCTATTCCTTACAGCCACAGCAGCCTCAATCACAGCTTTTACTAACACCTGTGGAATTCTTGCTAAGTATGTTAGACATACGATCAGTCAGTCCCTACCTGCTGTTGGTATGAGACTGAAAATAGACAGCTCTCATGCCCACTGGAAAGTGGGCTGATTATTTCAAGAACCCTTTTATCTATCTAATCTGTATGTCCGTCCACGTTAGCATCTGTCTGTCTCAAGCATTTATAGACACGCAGCACTGTAGAGTCTAGACACACTGTCTGATGGCTGGAAAATAAATACAATGACAGAAGAGGACTTGTAATGGAGTGCCTTGCCTTGCATTTGACAAAAGTAGGTCTGAAAGCAGAATGCAATTTGAAGCCTCATCGTGGCACATTTATTAATTTTTTAATTGATATTTACCAGGGACATGTGCTCCTAGGGTATGTGGTAATCAGCTCCATGTTATTTTTGTTTGAAAGTACTTATAGCCAAATCCTTTAAACATGTTTTAGGAAACCTTGCTGGCTTTAACTTTGGTATTTTCTTAGATTAGATTTATTTCAGCTAACACAGTCCTAGAACTATTCATCTTGATTTGGTTTTTTGTTCCCTGTTCTCACAGAAGATTTCTAGGGTTTAATGCCATACATTTTAACAATTGCTTCAATTACTGGACAGTCTGCTCGACTCCAGGGGTCACAAAAGAATGGTAACAAACTAGAGAATTTAATTATGTGAATGCACTAGAACAAGTAATTTTGTGTGTGTGTAACAAACTGCCTGGTGCGTGATGACAGAAAGATGAAATCACACTTCTGTATTTAAACTCACACAGGAAATATACAGTCCATGTACCTTCATTATAAAGCCATGGTTACTGTGAATAAAGGAGGGATAAACGGGTAAGTCAGTTGCATAAGAGCTATGTAAAAGGAAAATGGAAACAGCCACTTCAAAACCAGAGCTTTCTTTTTAATCTATTGTAAAATCATGATGTAAGGAGGACCCTTCCTTGTTTTTTTTGCTCTGTTAATAAGACCCATTGTGTTCCAAAGCCTGACAGGAACAATTAAATGAAAAGCAAAGGAGGACCATAGGGAGTAAGTGAGCACTTTTGTCACCCCTTGAGTTATGGAATGAAACAGGGGAGAACACGGAGAAAAGAAGGAGAAATTTAAAAGGATTTTACTTCTTCATGGCAATCTGGTATCAGGAACATTTTCATCTGACAAGTCTCTGTGGAGATCTAGAAGACACGGATGACCAAACCGATGACCTACAGACCTGCAAAATGTTTTACAGGTGAAGTGAGCTTCTCCCAGAATGTTTCAAGTCACCCCTTGAATGTTTCAAGTCACTTCTTCAAGTCACCAGGAACCGAGGAACAGCACCCAATCTGTGGCCTTAAATGCTACGGTAAAACTGATCTGTCCCTTCAGCCCAAGCTGCGCTGGTTCATTTTCAGGTCTGGAGGTCTATTCAATCCATTGTATCATCCAACTTAGTGGTCAACATGTTACATTTTTTACTGTTTCTTTTAATGCTTTAATGTTTTAACGCTTTAATGTTTCTTTACTGCCATACTATGTTTGTAGAGTGCTGAGTTACTATGCAAGCTATGCATAAGTTTAAATCAGGACTAGATCAAAAATATAATTTTCTGAAAACAAAGCTCTGGCTCTGAAAGCCATTGACTCTCTTGTGGCAATAAAGACAGATCCATTTATGTTGTCTAGTTGCTTTACACGCTACCTCTTGTTTTGGTATTTGCACTCAGTATCCCATATTCACTCCTGCTTTTATGAGTTGCAGTGGATCCCATTTTGGTGGGAATGACAGCTTCCCTGAAGTTAAGAGAAATCCTTTCTGGATCTGACTGGCTCTTAAGCTTGGCAGGCTGTGCGCTGTTCAGTGATTGGCTTTAAATTACACTGAATTAACAAGCAATAGCAAATACTTGGGGGGCATTCTAAGAAATGTTGTATAGATTGGCTGCGCTTCAACAGCTTCAACATATGTAACTGCATCAACAGGATGCAATCCTACAGGTACTCAGGTTCCAGACTTGTGCCTGGGTTGAAACTGACCCAAAGTCAAAGACAGCAGTTACTTATTATATAAAGGTAAACTTCAATCTGGTGCAGCCCGTAGTGTGGTGGTTTTTCATTTTTAGCTTGTTTTATGATTTTTAAGATAAAATAATTCAGCCTGTGGAAGGTGATGAATTGATGCTCTGAGATCCATATTTACAAAACAGGAGAAACAGCACAGGAAGCCTGACTGGGAAGGATTATTGTTTGTGTTCAAAGGGAAGTTTAGGTAACTACCTCCATTAGTCATTGTTTGGGCCATCTAATAAAACCATCTGCAGAGAGGCCAAGTGATATTGGATACTAAGGAGACTGGGGCCATTAGTACCATATCTGGGAGGGTTTCATTAAATAAATACTTGATTCTTAAGGAGAGTTTTCAAGGTATGAGGCATGGGAATATAGCACCTGAGCAAGCTGTGTTATTTCATTTCATTACTGATCTGGAAGAAGAAGGAGTCAATGCACTTGTGAAAACAGCAAGTGCTAGCTTCTGGAACAGCATAAAGGAA